AGAGGACCTCAGTGAGTGGCTGTCCGTAACTGAAGTACAGCCCAGACCCGAGTGGCTGTCCCCCGTACGTTTCAATCGAGTACAACTTTACAAAGCTCATTTAATACTGTTTTTTGAAGGACAGTGGTTTCAGTTTATTCTCTCTCTCTTTCAGGATCAAAGAAGTCCCTTTTGGAGCTTTAATAGTGGGTGTGCTGCTCCACTGAGAAGAAAACGTAAGGATCAGGCTAAAGAAGAAATGGGAGCAAAGGAGTTTTGCCTTTGAATGTGGATTTACTGGCTATTTCCACTGTAGGCACGAGGGGTAAGCTTTGCTGGGACTACGGTCACAGATGGTCTCACAGTTACAGGAACTAAGTTATCTATACCATGGAGGAAATATATCTTCTCCTTTTTCTTTTTTAGCAGAATTAATCAGAGAACTATGTAGTTATTTGCTTGGTAATCTATGGGAAAAATGTGTTTGTCAGAAACAGTGGAAAAATAGAGGGGACTGCATCTCACTTATACTAAAATTTGTCTCTTTTTATTTAAATCATGACTTCACAGTTTTAGGACCCAATTATAGGGTTTGTAGGTGAGCAAAATTCGACAGGTTGTGCTATCCTCGCAAGAGGCATGGCTGGGGAAGAGATGTAAGTAATTATGAAAGATATGTTCACACTTTTAATATAAAATTATTTAATATATAATTATTTAAGGGTATACATGTAACTTGCTTGGTAGTTTATGCTAAGTTCAAGCATAACCAAGGACACCACATTTCTTTATCTGAGCCATAAAACCTACAATTTATTTATTTTCAAAGGAACTGACTTCACTGATGCAAAAATGCACGATCAGTTTAAAAACTAGGTAATTGCTCAGAACGTACCATTCACTTGTTTTCTGAAATTCTGATTCAAAAGAATTTTACTCCCTCAATTACACAGGCATGATAGTGTGTGGTCTGCTAATGTAACAGTTTAATGTTTTCAGTTAATTGGGTACAAAATTGCCAGAAAAAAGACTGGAGATAGATTTTACCTCTGCATCATCACCACTATCACCGGTACACACCACTGTGTTTCCACATGCATGTATGCTCACCGATGTATGCATCCAGGTATACATGTACAACACGTAACAGTAAGCAACGGTATAGGTATAAAAGATCTCCTGGCCTGAGTTTGAGGTTACTGCCTACTCATGATTATTTATTAGTTATTACAACACCATATGTTTGCGTAACACCTTACAAAATAGATACAGACACAGCCCTTGCCCTGAAGAACTTTAAATGTAACAGCAGATGCAGCGTGGGAGAAGAAAGTCCAGTATAACGTTAATTTCAATATGATTACATGGTAACTTGGGAGACGGTTGCATGTTTTGTGAGAGTTAACACAGTAATCTTTGGAAACTCGAGAGATATACACACCTCTTATGCTATACTTTCACATCATGTGGTTACTTGTGCTGTGCGTTTTGGAGAAAAGCTATTTTATGGAAACATTAAGAGTGTAAAAATTGTTTTAAGAATTATTTTTTCTGATCTTTTTTGGCTGTGAAGTAGGCTTGCTTTATTTATCATGCATGTACAGGCAACATAGTGAAAGAAAAACTAGGTCTAATGCATTTTTTAAAAGCCTCTAAAATAACTTTTCTCTGTATAAAGTTGCTGCAGTTTTAGGGTCCAATATGCTGCAAGCTGCCAAGACAGACATACATTCTTTCCTCCAGAAGGCTGGGAATCATTCCAAAGGGATTTTTTTTGTTTCTTGTCATGCCTTTTAAGTTATGTACAAGTTGTGCTGGTCAATTTTCATACTTCATTGGCATATTCCTAATCTTTTATCTTGTCTGCATCCTTTACTAATCCCATGTTAACTTGATTTATAATTGAGAAAAACAGATTATTTTTTTTAAGGGGAGAAAATACCTTCGAGGACTGGAAAGTGTTCCTGAAGAGCTAAGTTATTGGTTTGAAAGTGTAAAGTAGACTGTGCAATACACATGTAGCTTATTTCATTATTTTGCTGTTTGTTCAGGTGTTGAAAGAAACAGGATTTTCTCCTGATTATATTTGCAGCATATTAGGAAGTCAGGAGGCAAATTATGAACTACACGTAGCACTATGAAGCAGACTGGAATGAATGTATTATTGATAACTGAACAATATAAACAGTACAGCATGTTCTAAAAGAAGGAGATAGAGGATGATACATACTAGGAACACCCTGGAATAAATATTGAAGTGGGTCAAAATGTACTATTTTTTTTTTGCAAACAGATTTGGAGTGTGCAAAGCAAAAGATAATATACCATTAGAGGAAGGAAGAGAGATAGTTTCAACAAAAATTTTAGTGGACATTTACTCATATCAATTAACCTCTATATAACTTGGCACTCTTGTCAGTCTTTCTCAAAAGCAGCCCAGAACTAAAATAGCAAAGTGCTATAGGTCAGGATGAGGTGCACTGGCAGAGTTACGTGGAGGAATATACACAGAACCTGTCTA